TCATGAACCTCCATCTCTGAACTCTTGAACTCGTTGAGCTCTTTGCGTATGGCAGCCTGAAACGAATCAAATCAAAGTAAATGTTTGATCCAACAGTTGAAGTCAATTTTTCAACTAGCTTAAGTCTAAGTTAGTAACTGACTTCCAGTCTGGTTTAGATCATTATTTAAAAATTACATATTTTTACTGGTATATATCTGAACATGATTGTTGAATGAAATTAACAATTATCAATTTATTGTAAAAACAACAGTTAATTTGTGAAACAGATCCAGTTGGCTTGCTGTTTATCTGTGATGACTGAGCCCATGCACTGTCACTGTTTTTGCTCAAAGTGGATGATRGGCTGCACCTCCTCTAGTGAAACGTGTTCCACTGTACGGTCTATGTTGAACTGACAGCATCATGCAGCAGCTGCAGAATTGTTTCTAGCACATCTATGATGTGAGTCTCTCATTCCTCCACATCCCAAACATGCTCCAGTTTACACATGCTTGGTGCTTGGATTGAGACCTGGTGACAGTGGGACCATTAAAGTCCAGAGGATGGAGACATCAGACCAGACGTTTATCTCTTTTCTTATTATCCAGTTTTCAGAGCCTGTATCAGCTGTGGCCTCAGAGATAGGACCTGGTGGGGTCTTCTGTAGCCCACCTGCTTGGACATGTTTGTTCAGACGTGGTGTTCTGCTGAACTTGGTTGAAAAACTTTCTGTCATCTTAAACCAGTCTGCCTGTTCTCCTCTGACGTCAAACATCAACAAGACATTTTTCTCAACACAACTGTTCACAAGTTCTTTTTGTTCTCCAAACCATCACGCAGCACAAGGTCCCACCTGGTTTTCAGAGTGTAACTGTGTTACCTTGTCAGCAGGGGTGAGTTTGGTCCAGGGCTTGTCAGCTCGCCGGTCGTAGTCTTCAGCGTGAGTGCACTCAACGTACTCGTGGAAACGTAAGATCTTCCTGGCCCGCAGCTCGGCCACGGTTGGTCTTTGAGATAACTGCAGGGAGAATGATGGGAGGTGTTAGCACTGAGACGTCTGTGTTCCAGTTAGTTTGCAGCTTCCTGACCTTTCTGGTGAGCCTGCGTTTGATCTCAGATCTCTCCAGCCGTCGGTCCACTTCGTTCTTGGCTGCAGGAGGAGAAGACATTCCATGAGAGAGAGATGGGGACAGAGCAGCCAGTCAGACACATTCACCTGAGCTGCTGTATCWGGAATCTGTAAGCAGTGCCAGGTTCTGGACAAGGTGCTGCGTTGTTCTCAGACAGGTGAGGTGCAACGGCCAGGTATGACTCCTGAATCTAAATGTGCTGACAGATTCTGAGCATGTTGGGTTGACTTGTTCAGTCTGTGGCTTTACTGCTCACTAACAGCATTTCTGTTGGTTTAATGAAACACCACATCTGCCTGGAGCAAGRAACTCTAATGTGACTGTAGTATGAGAAGTCGGCAGAAACACCATCATACGTTTGAGTTTAGATTCATTTTACAGTCTCAACCTTTCAAACCTGATACTTCCTGTCCTGCTCAGACATACCCTTGTTTAGTCAACAGTTGTGAAATCATAATGAAAATTTATCTGAATATCAACTCCAACAACTTCACAGATGGAAACAGAAAATACTTTAATCAGCTGCTTTGTCTGACYTTTCTAATCACAGATTCAGAGCATTAATTGCATCAGTGAAGATTTTATTCTTCACAAATCTTGTGTACATTTTGATAAAAGCCTGTAGATTGTGAAATGACACATGATAAAACATCTACCTGAGAACTGCAGTCTGAACTGTCTAAAACAAACATGGGATCTGATTAGGATCAGTCCTGCAGAGCACTGTTATACCTTCAGCAGTTAAACCAGGGTTGGGCCAAATAATAAGAATAATAATGAATTTCATTTGTACCGCACTTTTCATTAACAAAAATTTCAAAGTGCTACAAAACAAAAACCAACTCTGTTAAAAGTAATTAAAACCAATGATAAAATCATGCAGAGGAATAAGCTTGATTAAAAAGAAAGTCTTCATGCCTTTTTTAAAGTCATCCAATGATACTGAAAAAGATACTGTGTGTAAGTAATCATCAGTACATCTGTCAACARTACTATTTGCCACTTWGCAGTTACTGAAATTAGTGTCATGTGATGACGTATTTTTGTGTATGGCACACTATGACTATCAGGCGTGCACGTGAGTCCAGTGGTGGAAGGTGGCACGGAGCAGCTAACTCTAACCTAACACTATGAATTGTTTAATTACCTGAAACACTGATATGAAGCAGAGTACAGGGAAAGACAGAAAATGCTGACCAAGGCCACAGCGGCCACATGCAAGCACAACTGTCATCTATTAATTGTCATGTTCTTATCGGCTAAGTGTCACAAATAACTGAGAAATTTAGATGTCAATACATCTCTTTATGTATTTACCTCACAGGTTTAACCCAAACTAACTTTGATGAGTGCAGGAAGTATCTAAGCAGGTCACCTTCACTTTTTGCAATTTTTGTTTTTCAGACTGATACTACAATTGTTTTAAAAAAAGTCCAATAGGATTAAAGCAAAACACTGTAAACAAAGGTAGACCTTGGACCAGAATCCAGAAGCTGAAGTCAGAATGGAAACAGCYTCTAAATTCAACTGAATCATAGCACGATATATGACATTAACATCTGTATCAGCTGGTACTGGTCATCACATCAGTGTCGGACCGATAAGTAAAACTGGGCTGATATTAACGTCCCACTTTTTGTTTTTGTGTTTGTGATTTGGGAGGGAGATGTTTGGTTGAGTGATATCTATTTGATCATGATRGTGACAGTGATGCTGCAGTCAGGAATAACTGTAGAGCCATGTCAGCAGTCTGTTTTGTTACATTATCAAAAAAAGACAAGTGTTATTGTGTGAATATGTACATACATAATTTACATGTTTGTATAATATTTGTAAATATCAGATATCGGCTGAAAATTTCTACTGGTGCATGCCTAATCCTGTACAAGTTCTGAGTCCGGCCCCCTCCATGTAAATGAACAGGACATTTCCCTTAATAAACACATCTAATTTATTATTTTTACATGTTGATCCTTGTTAATTCACATAGTTTCTATGTTGCTTAGTATGTTTAAATATCTGATTTTCTGCACTTTTGGTCATAACTAGTTATTTTGAATGCTTATAAGAAAGTCCATGTAACACTGTGACCATGTGTAGAGCACAGGGATTAAAGCTTCGTACCACTGGAGCCAAAAATACAAGATGGCAGCTTCAGTAGATCAGCTCGTCATAGTTTCAATAGGCAACAAAGAGAGGAGGGGACATTTAGTCTGTCATAGTTTAAATCAGGACTCTGGCAGGTCTACTGCAGGACCTTCACATTGTTGTCTCTAAGCCACACTTCACTGTGTTCTTTGGGAACTGGMAAGTTAGACCAGTAGCTGGTTTTCCACCTACGTGGTTCTGTTAGGCTCCAGCCCACTCCACACCAGTTTTTGGTCTTTCCACTATCGGCACCCACCCCCGTCGGCCCGGTGTTTAGAACCTCCTGGGAGGTAGTACTGTGTGCCGACGTCGATTGGGGCGTGGAGGTGCTGAAGTGTGTAGCAGTCATGATTGGTCAGTGGAGCTACATGAACCACTCTGGATGACGTYATKAACACATGTACGTATTTTCAGAGCGACTTGATTTACTGAGATTTTACAAACGATGGCAGAGCGCCGGGAGAAACTAAAAATACTGAGGCAGTTTTCAGAGCAGTGAAGGACCACAGCAGTGGCTCAAAGCTGTGGGACTGGAGCTGCTGTGGGTAAATGGAGGTGATCTCTCTCTACAACACTGTTCTGTCTGCTGCTCCTGTAGACTGGACTCTTCACAAACTACATCTGCAGACGGTGCTTCATGCATTTAGTGACATCCTGAATGTAATTTATGGGACACGTCTCGCTTGTCAAACTCTACTTTTTTATTTATAACTCTTGTTCTGATGTGTCCTTTGTGTAGGCTCGTTGCCTATGCTAACTAGTTAGCAGCTAGCTTGTTAGCTGCTATCGCTAGTTAGCGATCCAGGCTAAAATCGACACCCCCAGCTCCACGTTTCCAAAAAGTGACCCAAACTTCAACACAATGCTGCTCAGTCATGCATAACTGGAAATTCATGAATGAAGTATGATCAGAAAGCATTTGTTGTCTACTTTTAGGTGAAACTATGTTTCCTGCTGTAATGTGTAGTTTTGCCATGCAATGGTTTGTGTTTTTGGTGACAATGTTAAGTTGGGTTTCTTTATTTTTTTTGATACACCCTGCATATGTGTTTACTTAGTAATTCACTTTCAAGGCAACATATTTATCTTTGTTTAACTTGAGTTGAAAAAAACAAGATGCCTGAGAATTATATGTTCAAGTTAAGGAGGTTAAATAAACAACTTTCATTTAATAATTAGTTGTTGTAGTTTAGAAGAATCATTATTACGTTAGGCTGAGGGGTAGTGGTGGTATGACAAAAGGCTCGGGGGTTCACAAGTCTAAAAAAGGTTGGGAACCACTAGAAGATATAGCTTCATCTCAGTCTGAGGTCCTGACCCCCCCGTGGAACAGGTTTAACTCAACATGTCTCTGTCCTTTGCTCTTTTCAGCTTTCCATCAACCCTGACCAGATTCCCAGCCTCAGCTGCTGAAACACAAGCACAGCATGATGCTGCCACCACCATGCTTCACTATCAGTGGTGCCTCCAGGTATACTGGTAATGTTGGGACAACAGTTTAATTTTGGCTTCTCCAGACCAAACAACCTGGTTCCTCACATTCAGTCCTTTAGTTCCAGTGTTTTGTTCCCATCAAACAGAAACACAAGGTGAGGTCAGTGAAAAGAGCCAGACTGGTTCTGTCAGACCCTGACCACCCTCTCAGGTCAGTTTAGGTTGCTTCCATCCAGAGGCAGGTTGCCCAAACCTAAGACTAACAGACTTGTTAATACTGGAAAATCTTTATTTATTTTTGTGTAGTATGAAAGTTGTTTTTCATGTCTACTAACTGTGCAACAGATTGACCCCTGGGGATAGTAAAGATACTAGCACTTAAACAAACCACTCTGTCATGAAGCCGGACCACCGGAGGCCTGTACTCCTGTTGTCCAGGCAGATCCTTTGATCCCATGCTTTGTCCAAGTCACACACTTCAGTCTTTTGTAGATGTGTGGAAATATCTCAGTAACATTTAACCAGTGGTGGGCAGCACTAATCTACAAATGTGTTCCACTAACCCTAAAGCACTAAATCAAATATTTAGGTCCCCTAATTCTAAAGCACTAATCAGAAAATTAGTTCCCCTATTAGTGCTTTAGGGGAACTGTGCACACCACTGCATATAACGTAGTGAAGAAATTTATTAGTTATTAAGAAACTGATTTCAGAAGCACCACAGTATATTCATAGTTTTCCTTTTTAAGTATTGATTATTATAATCTATTGTTTGACTATTGTTATGTGTTAATTAAAATAGTTTAGAAACAACAAAACACCATCACAACACATTAAAAAACCATTAATCAAACATAAGTACAGGTTTTTGTCTGAGTGCCTGTGATTCAGCTGTAGACCAGTAGTGGGGGTACCAGGCACTGAAGACCAAGCACTTATAACTGGGAGTTCTGGTTGTGTTCAGTGTGGGTTTCCTGCTTGTACTGACAGCATTAAACCTCTGTTCATTCCCAGTCACTGGTNCCAAGCACTTATAACTGGGAGTTCTGGTTGTGTTCAGTGTGGGTTTCCTGCTTGTACTGACAGCATTAAACCTCTGTTCATTCCCAGTCACTGGTGTTGTATGGTCCTCATKCTCTTCACATTTACATCTATTCAACATTTATGTGGTTTCATCTCMATTTCACTTAACAAACAATTTGCTTATAGTAGTATTTTRGTGTTGTTTGTTTTCCATGTGGACTTCACAGAGACAAAAGATGTGGATCTGATCTGAAGTGTGCAGGTTGAAACGACTGACCTGAACACTGAAATCACAGATTACAGAGCTGGTGTTGTGAAAGCAGACAGATGGAGTCTCATCTTCAGAACAGATCATGATAAAGTGCACTCCTTCACCTTTCTATGCAGCAGTTAAAACATGTTTGTTYTTGTTTATTTGTATTTATGATGCTGTGATTTATAAGTTGACTCATCAGCAGAAGTAGAAAGGTCAGTGTCACCTTGAAGAATGTTCCTCTGCTCCAGCTCCTCTGCTGTGGGTCTTTGACTCAGGCGCCTGGGGACACACATTTCATTTGTCAGTTCCTCTGTCTTTAAGCAGATCACATGACAGGGAGCTGACCTACACTGTGAACATCACATCTTTACTGCTCGCTCTCTACAGGTGAAGAGACCTTGGCTCAGGCAGGTGSTTTACCTGGTCAGTGCAGTGCCGATCTTGTTCCTGACGGCCAGCCACTGCTCCCTGCTGCTCCAGCTCATCCCATCAGAGCCCTCCTGACTGTCCTGCTCTGCTCGCTGCAGCTTCTCCTGCTTCTCCAGCCTCCGGGCCATGGTGTCGTTCCTCTTCACACGAGAGGCCAGCCCAGCTGKTGAAACAGACACGTCTCACTGGCTGCTGAAGGAAACTGCTTCTGACTGATCCTGACACTGATTTCAAGTCTAAACCAATCAGAGCAGCCTCATTAAATCAACACTGCAGCCACAGCTTTAACATACTTAGTGGGACGTCCTCCTCCTCCTCCTCCTCCTCCTCATCGTCTCTGTAGGGGATAGGACCGTCAGAGTCTGTGTCCTCCTCGCTGTCCTCAGGACCGCCCACCTCAGGGATGACGGTCACTCTGGGGTCTCCGATCAGACCCCTCCTGCTGCGAGGCTCCAGCTCCAGCTGCCTGGGGGGCCGCTGAGCTTTAAGCTTCTGCAGTTCCTCCTCCATGTCGAAGTCATCATCCTCTGGCCTGAGAGAGAACAACAGCTGTCAGGGAGGAGCAGAACCTACATGTGGGTCCATGTCTGAAGAACTGAAACACTGAGATTCAGTTTCCCTGTGAGGACCTGTCCAGGTGGGCCTTCAACAGTAAACACATGTACACATGTACAGCCGTTACACACTGTGTGATGCTGAAAACAAACCACATCACTTTATGCACAGTTGTCATCTTCCTCTGAGTTAAAACGTCTTGTAGCAGACACAGGAAGTGAAACATTCAGAAAACAGGAGAACTTTATTAATCCCACCAAAGCTCACGACAAACATAAACACTGCTGTTTATGGAGAAAACTTTAAGTTTATTCTCTTTTATTACAAGTTTTTTAAAGCAAGTACACACTTTTTACCATGAGGTCGACAAGCTGTGACACAACTGTCTGTAATCCAGTTGTTTTTCTACTGCCAGATGTTTTATTTGTGATCAAATAAAAAGTGAATTTAAGACTTCCTGGTTGTGAACACATTTCAACAAACGGTAGAYAATTTATATGTTTTGTGTTAAATCAGTCCCTGTGTGAGTCATGTGTCCATCAGAACACCTGTTAATGACATCATCAGGTGACGAGCATCATAGCTCGTTTTTCATCAGATGTTTCCTGAAGCCTGCAGGTACACACACCACATCCTGTCCACACACACCACATCCTGTCCACACACACCACATCCTGTCCACACACACCACATCCTGTCCACACAACATCCTGTCCACACACCACATCCTG